ATTTAATTAAGAATTGGAAGTCTCAGAGATGGCAAACACTATTGAACTTCAATTCTAAACGCAGAATTTTGTTGACTGGTACACCGCTGCAGAATGATCTTATGGAATTGTGGTCACTGATGCATTTTCTGATGCCTCATGTCTTTCAGTCTCACCAGGAATTCAAAGATTGGTTCTGTAACCCTATAGCAGGGATGGTTGAGGGACAAGAAAAAATCAACAAAGAAGTTATTGATCGCTTACATAATGTCCTCCGTCCTTTTCTTCTACGGCGTTTAAAAAGGGATGTGGAGAAGCAACTTCCATCGAAACATGAGCATGTTATTTTCTGTAGACTGTCTAAGAGGCAGCGCAACTTGTATGAAGACTTCATAGCAAGCACAGAAACACAGGCTACGCTTAACAGTGGAAGCTTTTTTGGGATGATAAGTATCATTATGCAGTTGCGGAAAGTGTGTAATCATCCTGATCTCTTTGAGGGTCGTCCTATTGTAAGTTCTTTTGATATGGCTGGCATTGATGTGCAGTTGAGCTCAACTGTCTGTTCGCTGCTTTTGGAAAATCCGTTTTCCAAGGTTGATCTCGAGGCTTTGGGATTCTTGTTCACACATCTTGATTTTTCTATGAATTCTTGGGAAGGAGATGAGATTAAAGTTATTTCAACGCCCTCAGAATTAATCAAGCAACGTGCCGACTTGAAGAATAATTCAGAAGGAATCCCTTTGAGTTCGATAAACCACAAAAATCTGCAAGGGACAAATATTTTTGAAGAGATTCGTAAGGCCGTCTTTGAGGAAAGGGTTAAAGAAACTAAGGATCGGGCTGCGGCCATTGCATGGTGGAATTCTTTGAGATGTCAGAGAAAGCCGACTTACTCTACATCTCTAAGAACTCTTTTAACCCTAAAGAGTCCTATCGATGATATACACCATCTTAAAGCTAATCGTTCATCTTACATGTATTCCACAATCCTCGCTGACATAGTTCTTTCACCGATCGAGCGCTTTAAGAAGATAATTGACCTAGTCGAAGCTTTCACACTTGCGATTCCAGCAGCACGAGTATCTTCACCTGCTTGCTGGTGTAGCCGGCGTGACTCTCCTGTTTTTCTTAGTCCATCTTACAAGGAGGAAGTTAGAGATTTATTGTCACCTCTTTTGTCTCCAATTAGACCTGCAATCGTTCGGAGACAAGTATATTTTCCAGATAGGCGACTGATACAGTTTGATTGTGGTAAGCTGCAGGAGCTTGCTATGTTGTTGAGGAAATTAAAATTTGGGGGTCACAGAGCGTTGATATTCACGCAAATGACCAAGATGCTTGACATCTTGGAGGCTTTCATTAATTTATATGGTTATACCTACATGCGTCTTGATGGCTCCACTCCTCCAGAAGAGAGGCAGACGTTAATGCAGCGGTTTAATACAAATCCCAAAATCTTTCTTTTCATTTTGTCAACCCGAAGTGGTGGCGTTGGCATCAATCTTGTGGGTGCAGACACAGTTATATTCTATGACAGTGACTGGAATCCTGCTATGGATCAACAAGCTCAAGATCGCTGCCACAGGATAGGTCAGACACGTGAAGTCCATATTTACCGGTTGATAAGTGAGAGCACCATTGAAGAGAATATCTTAAAGAAAGCAAATCAGAAGCGTGCGCTTGATAACCTTGTAATTCAAAACGGTGAGTATAACACCGAATTTTTCAAGAAGCTTGATCCCATGGAGTTGTTCTCTGGGCATAAGGCTCTGACTACAAAGGATGAGAAGGAAGCAAGCAAGAATTGTGGGGCGGAGGTACCTCTGTCAAATGCAGATGTTGAGGCTGCTTTGAAACAGGCTGAAGATGAGGCAGATTATATGGCTCTAAAAAGAGTAGAACAAGAAGAAGCTGTGGACAATCAAGAGTTTACAGAAGAACCTGTAGAGAGACCAGAAGAAGATGAGCTAGTAAATGAAGATGACCTAAAGGCTGATGAGCCTACTGATCAAGGTTTAGTTGCATCAGGGTCGACCAAAGAAGAAATTCCATTGTTACATGGTGATACCAGGGATGAGATAGCTGTTATCACTACTTCAAGCCAAGAAGATGATGCTGATGTATTAGATGATGTCAAGCAAATGGCTGTAGCAGCTGCTGCTGCTGGACAAGCTATCTCATCTTTTGAGAATCAGTTACGTCCTATTGATAGATATGCGATTAGATTTTTAGAGCTTTGGGACCCCATCATTGTTGAGACTGCAATGGAAAATGAAGCGGGGTTCGAAGAGAAAGAATGGGAACTTGACCATATTGAAAAGTACAAGGAGGAAATGGAAGCTGAGATTGATGATGGGGAAGAGCCTCTTGTTTATGAGAGTATGTGTACCCTTTTTTGCACATTCAGTCCAATAATTTGACTTAATAAAGAACCTTGCCGATGATGTATCTTTGTATAGTGTAAACCCATGACTTGGTTTTTAACTGACTTGAGATGTTAATGCTATTTTCAGAATGGGATGCTGATTTTGCAACTGAAGCATACAGGCAGCAAGTGGAAGTCTTAGCTCAGCACCAGGTGAGATTAATTACTGCATCTATCGTGTCATGCATTTCAGCTTGGTCACGTATTTACTTATATGTTTTGTAGTTGATGGAAGATTTGGAAAATGAAGCTAGAGAGAGGGAAGCTGCTGAGATGGCCGAAATGGATCTGATACAGTATGACACTTCTGAACCCACACAGTTCATTGTCGATATGATTATCTAGGACAATGCTGTTGAAAATTATATTTCATCATAGATAAACAAACACTGGATTCTAGTTATTGGGATAGTGATCAAAACAAGTAGATTAATTGAACCATTCTTTTCCTCAGGAACGAAACTCCTCTTGTACTGAAGTCTAAGAAGAAGAAAAAAGTGAAGAAAGCCAAATTTAAATCCCTGAAGAAAGGATCACTGGCTGCTGAATCAAAACATGTGAAGTCCGTTGTGAAAGTTGAAGATTCGACTGATGATGATAATGAAGAATTCGCCTATGTGAGTAGCAGTGACTCAGATTTGGTTACACCGCTTTCGCGAATGCATATGAAAGGCAAGAAAAGAGATTTAATTGTTGACACAGAAGAAGAGAAGACCTCGAAGAAGAAAGCAAAGAAGCATAAGAAGTCTCATCTGAATTCAGATATCAAATACAAACAACCAAGGGCTCTACATGATGAACTGGAACCATCAAAGCCGCCTGATAGTATGGTCGTTGATAATGAATTGAAACTGACGAACAGGAGTAAAACTATAGGGAAAAAATTCATCACTTCCATGCCAATAAAGCGTGTTCTTATGATCAAGCCAGAGAAGCTGAAAAAAGGGAATCTGTGGTCTAGAGACTGTGTTCCCTCGCCTGATTCTTGGCTGCCTCAGGAAAATGCTATATTGTGTGCCATGGTTCATGAATATGGGCCTAATTGGAGTTTAGTTAGCGGAACTCTTTATGGAATGACAGCTGGTGGGGCTTACAGGGGACGGTATCGCCATCCTGCATATTGTTGTGAGAGATATAGAGAGCTTGTCCAGCGACATATTATGTCTGCTTCCGACAGTGCAGTGAACGAGAAGAACCTCAACGCAGGTTCTGGGAAGGCGCTCCTTAAAGTCACTGAGGTAAGGTTGATTATGTCATAGCGCTAGGTTAGCTTAGCTACTCACCAGCATGCATGAAAGTCGTGATGATTTAGGGAAAGATGAAAACTTTTCTTGTAAATAGGTTCTTTTAATCAAGTGAAGAAGATTATAATGGAAAGGAGATGCTTTTCACTAATATCACAATTTTGGTGCAGGAAAATATTCGGACACTCCTTAATGTTGCAGCTGAGCAGCCAGATACGGAAATGCTCCTACAAAAACATTTTTCTTGCTTGCTGTCATCAATTTGGAGGACGTCGACCCGTTCAGGGAATGAACAACTGCTATCCTTAAACAATCCCATTTTTAATAGACAGTTTATGGGCTCCGTGGATCACTCCCAAGATATAGCCAGAAAGCCTTGGCAGGGGATGAAGATCACCAGCTTAAGTAGAAAGTTGTTAGAAGCCGCTCTCCAGGATTCCAGCACGAGTCAGCCAAACAATACGGTTTCCCATTCTAGGTTGCAGGAGAATCAACCTATCAATAAAGTGGGATTAGACTTAACCTTGGAATTCCCAGGTGGCAATGATGATTCCCTGCCTCAGTTTCCACCCATGATAAGTCTGTCCATTGATGGGTCAGATTCATTAAATTATGTGAACGAGCCCCCAGGGGAAGATGTTCTTAAAGGTTCTAGGGTTGCTGCAGAAGACCGTTACAGGTTTGGAAAGCTGAGATAGTTGATTTTTCTTCCGATGATTCTGAGCAGTAATATTCACTAAAGAATTGGTGATTTTGTTTTGTAGGAATGCTGCAAATGCTTGTATTGAAGATTCATTTGGATGGGCTTCAAACACATTCCCAGCCAACGACCTGAAGTCAAGAACAGGCTCGAAAGCACAGTCCCTGGGGAAACATAAGCCATCTGTCGCAGACTCAGCCAAGTCTTCAAAAAGCAAACAGCGCAAACTCTTAGCAGAGCAAACAGAAGTAGCATGGGTTAGGCCAGATGACCCAAATCTCAAGTTTGATTTCACACCTGGGGATAGGGAGGATGAGGAGGTGGAGGTGGAGGAGAAGGCGGTTTTAGAAGAGATAGAGATGATAAGTTGTTCACAGTGGTATGATCCATCCTTCACTGCAGGCCTTGATGATTGCTCATTAGCTTCGGAAATCTCAGAAATAGAGTAGGAAAAGCCTTTTGTAAAAGTATAACTGGTGATGATTGTGGATGACCATTTTGTTAACCACTATTGATGGGCAAAATCTTTTGTAAAGCAGAAAGTGACAGCTTCGTAGGTTTTTTGTGTTTCCAAAGTTCATCTAATATCTAATCTCAAGTATGATTTTTATCCCCACCGTATAGTATAATGATACCAACATCTGCTTACTGCTTCCGACTCGTTTATATCTAGTTCCAAAATCTCTAGCTTTCAGAATAATACAGTGTGTCCTCAGATTCTAAAATTGTCTAAAAGAAAGAAAAAGACGATGCAACAATACATGACGGATCAACTCCTACAAAGTTTGGTTATCCAAAAAATTGAGCCACTCATTGTAATCATCAAACCCTGGTTCAACCAGTAGTCGGCTCCAAAACTCGTTATCTGATTTCCCATTGATCTCTAGCAAGTCTGGTTTAGATGTAGGAGGAGGAATGTGGCTATCTTCAAAGAGACATTCTAGTGATTGTGGTGCATTCACCTCAAATCCACATGCAATTTGCTCCACCAAGATTTCCTCAAACTCCTCTTCCTGGTTTGGCTTCTCACTGCTTCTAATAACGTCTTTCAAGACTGATGAGATCGAGGAAGAGGAAGAAGACGTTGAGGACAATGACTGATTAGTAGCATCTGATGATGATGATAATGAGTTGCTCTTCATCAATCGCTTCTTGAGATGAGTGTTCCACACGTTCTTGATCTCATTGTCTGTTCTTCCCGGAAAGTGGGATGCGATCTTAGACCACCTGATTAAATAATGCTCTATAGTTAATACTACTTTCCTGCTTATAAATGTATGTACGTACATAAAGATTGAGATGAAGGAGACACGATTACTTGTTTCCATGAGCTTGGTGAAGGTGGATAATGGTATCTTCCTCTTCTTTGGTGAAGTTGCCTCGTTTGAGGCCTGGTCTCAGATAGTTTATCCATCTTAGGCGACAACTCTTTCCGCATCTCATCAATCCTATGAAGTTACAACAATTAATTTTGCACAACCAAAACTACAAGTTAAACATATAAAAACTAGGAATAAAGACAAGGTTTAATAGTATTTTAATTGAAAGCAATTTAACCATGAATTCCAAGATTGAACCCCCCATCTTCCGGAAGATTTTGTATGAGAGACTATATACTGTATTCAACTTTAACATTTAGAAGACAAAAATAATAATAGATAATAAACACGAACGTTACAGATTCTGGTCAAACTTCTCTCCTCGTATTTTCTATGCATCAAAGAAATATATGCCACCTTTATGAGAGATAGTCACCGAAACATTCACTAATTTGTAACAGATCAAAGAATCGATAAGTGACCAAAGGAGAATAAGAATCATCGATGAAGGAGAATAAGGTTTTGTTATGTATCATCCTCAGATTAAAGAACATTATATATGCATCCGAGAGAAAAAGAGAGAGATGTTGAAAGCTCTCACAAACAGATTAATGCTAAAAACATGAAAAAGAGAAAGAGAGTGAAGCATGCAGACCAGCGAGTTTGGGAAGAGATCTCCAATTGTGATGACCATTTTTTTCGATAAAAGCTCTGAGTCTTTCGCTTTCTTCATCACTCCATGGCCCTCTCCTCACTTGGCTCTTGTCACAGCATGGTGCTCTTTTCTTCCCCATCACCACCACCGACTTTAATTTTTTAGAAAATCTTATCGACAAGTTTCATGTACTTGTCATCATCTCATCGATCATATATATATAAGGGTTAATTACTGATGAGCCACAAGGGCCATGCCACTATTTCATTTCATGTACGAGTAAACCTACTTGAATAAATTATAGTAAATGGTATACAATAATCCATTTTAGCATATATTTTTTTTTTGATTTTTGTTCTTTCTTTCTTATGACAATATTCGTCTATATCTACTTTCTTTTCATATTCAAACCTATTCTCAAGCGTTTATAGCATATTAATTAATTCAATATATTTTTCTTTAATTACTTTTTTTTCCTGTGAAAATGTGGACTTTTAAATTTTACTCTAATTTTCAGACTAAATTTTTTAGAAAAATAGATCTTGTAGTTTAAACCGAATTTGTTTCATTTTTAAAGAAAAAAAGGAGGGGGGGGGGAAATGTGATTTTCTTATTCACAAAAGTTAATATTGAATATTGACTTATATTAGTATTTCGTTCTATCACCATTGACTATCATTTGGATCTGCAACTTGACTTTATGATAGTTATGCAATGACGACTGATATAGAAATATTTTTTTCTTTTTTCTTTGTTACAAAGTATGCAGTATGCAGTTTAAAGGAAACGTTAAAATCTGTAAGATTTTATTCTAAAAGTAGAAAATGTAAATAGCAGTCAAGAAAACCAAAAATGTAGAATAAGTAAATAGATATGGTATATATGTTTTAATTTTAATTAGTCCATTATATTTATGCAGTGACAGCGGAATATTAGCCTGTAAATTAACACTTATTAGATTTCAACAGGATGAATACACGAACGTAGTGAATGTGTCAATGTATCATCAAACAATTGAATGTAAATAAAAGTAAAATATATACAAAATGTGAACAGATGGACAAAAATGTATTATGATATGAGTGGGAGAGAAGAGAAGAATAGATAAGCGTAGAAGAATACGAGAATGCATGATACCTTACACAAACTTCAAGTCTTCAACTTTGTATTTTATTTTCTTTTATTTTTTTCATTTATTTTACAAAAACAAATAAGTGATAAGTGATGTGTGCTTGTGTTTGTGTCTTCTTTGTACAGAACACACGACGTCGTTTGACATGTTTAAGTCTCCACGTGCCTGAAATTGAAGATTCTTATTTTTTCGAAAGTAAATTTCGAGGCTTTATGGGCTTTGTAACCAAAATGGGTCCTAAGGCCTTTTCGGAGAAGAGTTGGTCTCTGCGACAGATCAGGTAAAAATATGGTACAACGTGCCACTCTTCAGAAGCCAGTTATCAATGCAAATATGCAATCATGGTGGACTTTGTGCATGCAAAACCTATAGTGAGATCTTCGAGAGAGATTGGTACAAACTTCTTCTTCGTCTTCTTTCCCTAAACTCTTCTTTGTTCTTCTCCACCACATCTCTCTCTAACTTCTGTGAAACTCCAAAAGGGTGGAGCAACCTCTAGGCTCCTGAATCATCTCAGCTTTATACAGGTACATCGACGTAATTTTTTGTGGATAAGTAAACGGTGAAGCAACCATAAGTAAGGGCCAAGAACTAGCAAACACAATATTGAAGGCTCTTCTCTGGAATCCGGCTCGTCTAGAACTAGGATGAACCATCAAAAGATTTGATGAAGCAAGAAAACAAAAAAGATAGCCAAATATTGCAAGTACTCAAGTCAATCTAAATCTAGTTAGATGCTTCTTTCTATTTTTTTTCATACAGAACGTACGTACATGATCTAATCATCTAAATAAATTCAATTTGAGAAATGCCATAAAAATGTGTGTGCTGGTTTTTATGTGATAGAAGAAGACTCGCTCACTCATATAGCATATATGGAATAGTCGGGATTACTGCGTTTCTACCAAACAGATAATTGAGGATGCTTAAAATATGATTTCGTTTCTTATGTTATGTACTTGTCACGGATCAAATTAGTATAATACCATATATATTGAAGAATTGTGATAATAAGGTATTCGTTATCGCAATGTGATCCCAAAATGAGATTGAATACTTAAAAATTAAAAGAATCGAATCAATCATGAGGTGGTGAGCCGTGTCCTCCGAAGCAACAATTAATCCCATTCATACTTGAAATGAGCTGCCTAAGTACTCATGCTTACTACTATATATATATATCCCGCCTTGCAATTCCAATTTACGACGAATGTTCCTTTAAAAAAAAGTATATCAGTACATATAAAAATATTGTCATTTCGACCTCGTTCAAGAGAATCTTAACAACAAATGGCTTCTTCTTTTTAATAATAGTTCCTGATCCTTTTTTCTAGTTACACATGTATGTTTCCAGTTGATAGGTACTTTGATAATGGAAAAAAAAAAAACTATATGAAAGTATGACTTTATTTTTTTCTAGTTATGAAGAAAAATTCGATTTCACACTTGGACAGTCATCATATATAATTAATGTCCTTAATGTAAACAAAAATAGAATACTTGTTTCTGTCAAACCAACTATACTTACACATTATTTAAACGAAATTTAAGATATATGTTATAGATCCATCAATGTGGCTCGATGACTTTTGACTACATATTTATGATAATTTAGTAGTAGATCTAACATGACTAAATATATGAGTATGATGATGATGTAAATGTGGAGACACCGACCTTTTACAAAATTTATGGTAACCTTGGAGAGTTGTGGATGAATGGTCTTAATTGAGAATAAATAGAACAAAACAAAAGAAACAGGGAAATTAAATGATTGACTGTGAATTGCTACATATATAAACTCGCATGTGATGGTGCAGGTGATGGCAACATGGGAAAAAATCATTATAAATGGACCAAAAATTCCCAACTCTATGATTAACCATTACCCTTATATTCAGATTGGTCACACAAACTAATAATTATAATCACGATTAAACTATGAATTAGACTAGACTTATATATATGGGATACACAATATTATTGAGAGAATCCATAGATGTGGGACAGTTAAACCTCCACATGTAGTTCACTCGGGTCGTATATAAAGCAAATATACACACATGTGCTTGCTGGTGTTGTTTATATATATATGTGTGTTTGTTTGATTTTCATATAACACAAAACGAAGGTTACCTGAAAATGTACTAAACCAATTATGTGTGACTAGATATATGCCTATAGTGTTTTGAAATAGAAAGAAAAAACAAAAGTGAGATCACAAACATATAAAACATATAGTACTCTTTTTCTAGTGGCTGAAGAAGATTCATAGTTATAAATTGTTTGCTGACTTGAACTTCATTATGGTTAGTCTTTAGAACTTGAGTAATGTAAAACCAACATGGTTTTTAGTATAGTTTTGTGGCCTAGTATATATATTGAATCGGGCTTGGAAACAACAGACTTTGGTATTTTTTGGATCTGAAAGAATGTAAAACAAGAGATGCAAAACCACATGGTCTTTTGTTACTCTTTCCCCGTAATTAGGCCTGGGCATAAAATTCGAATCCGAAAATCCGAACCGAACCGAACCGAAAAAATTGGATTAAAACCGAACCGATATTGGAAAAATAACCGATCGATTGTTAGCTTTCATTATTTTTGGATATCGGATTAAACCCGATCCGAACCGATATCCAATAGATATCCATATATAACCGAACTTATAATATATACTTTAGTATCTTTAGGATATATACAATATATACTTTAATATCCTTAGGATATATACGTTTGCCGCATAACGGATGAAAAATTATTTTTAATTGATTTAGGATGTCACTGAATTTTGCTACTTTTTCATTATGAATTTATGATTTAGTTTGGTTTATTTAAAGCTTTCATGCATCGACACAGTTTTATGCTTCAATTTTATATATTGGTATGGTATTATGTTAGTTGGTTCTTTGAACTTGTCATTTGCCTCATTTCTATTTTTATATATACTTGGATAGTATGGATTATTTGAGTATAATTAGATTTAAAAATATCCGAATAAAACCGAATCCAATAAATTTTGGTTAAAATTTAATTATCACAATTATATCCAAACCGAACCGAAATCCGAAATATCCAAACCGAAACCGAACCGAATTTTGTAAATATCCGAATGGATGTTAGAATCAATATCCAAAAAATCCGAAAACCGAAAAATCCGAACCGAACCCGATCCGATATCCGAACGCCCAGGCCTACCCGTAATTCTCAATATTTTTTTCTATATACATATTTACAATACATTTTTGGCATTACACCGTATTTTATATTAAAAGAAAAAAAAAGAAATAAAAAAGAAGAGAATATAACCTTTTTTTAATTAACACATCAAAAAAGGAGAAGCTATATAACTAAAAGTAACAGATAACTAACGGCCGTAGAATAAATGGTATTAATCAATATCCTTCCTAAGTACCGTACATTGACGTATTTACCCTTCCGGTAATCTCGGTAAAACATCACACTCCGATCTTACTGGCTCAATCCAAACAAATTGAATCAATGTCCTATAAACCCATAAATTACGAATACATAAATAAATAAATAAAAATCCAAATTGCTGCAAATATTTCCATTAATAATAAAATCTTCACAAGAATTTCAAACCGATCCTCAAACCGGCGAAAAAAAATCAGAAAAAATCTGCAACAACAAATTGTTTTAAAAAAGTTAAACTCTAAACTTGTTTCCTTCTTCTTCAATTTTTTTCATCATCATCAAACGAATCTAGAAAAAAAGAAAAATTATATACCTATTTACATCCAAAACGACGAAGTATTACTCAGTATCTGAACAAAAACCACCAGATCTAGAAAAAAAAAAAACCTTTGTCTAACTACCAAGATTTCTTCTAAGAAAAAAAAAAAGCTTCTTCTTCTTCTTATTCTTCAAATCGTCTCGTCTCCGATTAGATCAATCGACACCGGAAGTCCAAGACGAAGCGACTCCATGATCCTTTCGAAGACAAGGACATGGCATGGGATTTGCAAACCTCCTTTTTGCTCGTACCCGTACTCCTGAGCAGATCGGTTTAGTAAACCGATAAAAACCGGATGGTTGAGCAGCTCCGCGCTTACAACGAACCTCTCCATCTCCTCGCCTACGTATACCGGTACGTGTCCTTCTGGAACGGAAGAGCTCTGCTTCTTCGACCGACGAGCCACCGATGAACGGAGGAATGATTCTGTACGGCGCCGGTTACTAGGTCGCTGCGAATCTGAACGGAGGAGACTGTATTGAGCCGAATCAGCCACGCGTGAGAGACGGCGGATCAATTGCTTCATCGTCTTCTTTGCTTGAGATTGAATACTTTTGCTCAAAGAGTGGTTGATAACGAGAATTGTGAGATTTTTTTTTGCTTGTGAAGGACAAGTGAAGGGGGAGATTCTTATTATATATTGAAGTCGAGGGTACTTTCGGGATTTCTTATCTTTTTATATAAATAAAGTTGGTACAAGGAAGGAGTACTTGCCAGGTACACACACTTACTTCGTAATTTTCCACTGACTTTCAAATCACTATTTTTTCAACGAAGAAAAAGAAAATTAAAACGAATAAATATCTTTGATTTTTCTTTTTGAAAAAGGAAATAATATTATATATATTTAACTAAGGATTGATTTTACCAATTATTTCATTGGTGTGATTCTTTTAAAATTATATTCTTATTGGAGGATTTTTTTTTTAATTCTTTTAGATAACTGTTTGGATTTCCATTAACTATATCCTGCATTATCTTAAACATAATGCACAATTAAATGATTGTGATAATATTATATCCTCCAATTAATGATAGGATTTAGATACCAATTTTTAATTTCACTTGGTTATTCCTATTCTATCAATTATTATAATTATCAGATATACTCTTTTCCTTATTTATTACACGCAAGGTTCATGAAGCAACTCAATATATATATATATATATATATATATATTTTATTCCCCATGCTGTAACATTATCAAAATTTTTGGTTAATTCTTCATTCTAAGCAAAACGAAAACAATTTTTAAAAAAATAAAATAAATAACTAAATAAGTCTATATATATTTATTTACATGCTTCCATATAGTTCCATGTAGGCGTTGTAATCATATACATTATGTAGTTAATAACTTAAGATCGGATAATCCAATTTTACTTTGTAAACTTTTGAGATATTTAATCTGGCATTCTTTCTCTAATCCTATTCAAAATATAAAAAGGTGTAGAATAAAGACTGCCTCGTTGATGGTTAATATTTTCTATTTATTAAATTGTATCTAGAAAATATCAATGAAGTGTGGTAACAATAGTTATTTTTGTGGAAGTAGTTAATTGCATACAAGTTTATCCTGTAACTTTGTAAGCTATCATATGTAATTTCGCTAATGATGTTCATCGACCTAATATGATAACTTTCTAAGCTATCATATTGATTCAATTTCTTCTTCGCTAATTTTATTGTTAATGACGCATCAAAGACACTTATATGTTGACATAATCACATCAATAAATATACTGACAATGATTAGTAATCTCTCTAACTAACTAATATGATTTCATAATTAATCATAACAATACTAATGCTTTTTATTAGATATACATGTGACATCTATTATAATTTCGCTAATGATTTATCATTGACCTAATACGTCTTATATCCACATTTGTTAGGAATAATGAAGCCTTCAGAATCTGGAAACAAAGTCTAATATAGAGGCTGGATTTCAAATAAATGACATACAAATTATTCTGGATGGAAAATTTACGAAACAAAATCTGGAGCTTCAACTTCTGTTGACCCCGAAAGATGACATTAAGGTTTCTAGAACTTGGACCAAAGTAATTTAATATGAGCCATTAATTTTTCTAATGTTACGATTTTCCTTTTTTCTTTTTTTCTTTTGAACAAGTATATATATATATATATAATTATACAAATAAGTCCATACTCACCCCGACGACTTCAAAGACTTCAATATTCATATTGTTTATTCTGGTCATTCATACCCTCACGTAAACATCATTGAAAAAACTATAACCATTTTTAAGTTACTTGTAAGTTTCCATTATGTAATGTACTTTTCTCAAGCCTAATCAGTGTAGTTCAATTAGTTTCAGATTATAATCAATTAAATGATAAGCTTGTTATTATCGTTTTCATTGTGTAAACATAAAAAGATCTATCACTTTCATAATATAAACACAAGCCATTCATATAGATTAGCGTGATCATATAACTAATGCAGAGACTACAAATATATATATATATATATATATATATAACCAAACTTCATAATTCACGATATAGTTGATTGACACTAATTATTCATAAGAGTTGTATTGTATACACAGCGTCATGCATAGAAATAATGTCATGCGTGGATATCATGAAGGACCATCACCATGTGTGTGTGAGTTAGACTAGATAGAGAATAAAAGTAAAGCAGAATTGTTGAAAGGATCAGTCTCCGTTCTGTAAAGGTTAAAACTTTAAAAGACAAAGATACGATGTGACCTCATTTTCTCTGGTTATCAAAAAAGTTGTCTGACCCCTAACTTATCTTACGGGGGGGTTGCAACTTTATTCATTGCTCTGATACCCAAGTTTGGGATGTTAATAAGATCAAGTTAGTTCGATAACCAATTCTACAGGCTCTTCATTAACTTTTTTATTATGATTTTTATACATAATAATAATATGACTATTCCACATATAGATTAATCAAACTAAAATAGTCTCGTACTACTGCCATGCATCTTTGGTATGTTTCGTCCGATGCAGAAATGTCGAACCCCAACTTAGGTACGTCCCAAGTTTTACGTCACAACTAGATAAATGTCAACGCGAAGATATGTCTGTGTATATAAGTATAAGATGTAATGGTAAACTACTTTGATTTGTTAGATCTAAAAGGAAACAATAAAAGCAAAAGAAGCAAACTTTTGAGTTTTGATGGAGTGTTAAGAAAACTTAAAACAAAGTCTCAAGTGGTTAAGTCCCTTACGACTCCTTGTCGTCAAGTTTCCGTGGAAGTCCCTGATCTATTATACATGTTTCGTAATACAGTTTAGATGGTTTTGTTAGTTTCTTGTGGGATTGGAAGTGTTCAAGTGCCGTCACGTAGTTGCCCATTCTCTCTCATTAATATCTATCACTAATAAAAGTTTGGATAAAATCATCATAAACTGATCGACTTAGTAACTATATATGTTTATATATCTGAATCCAATACAGGAAAATCCACACCTAGGCGGCATTAAACACAATAATTTATAACTAAAGAAGGCTAGAATCAATATCTAATTTCTGCGTTGTTAGTTATATATATGTAAATAAAAATCATGCATGTAAAGAATCGGTTACATTACTAATGATAGCTAATATTTAGTCATTGATATTTTGATTAATAGCTAAATAACTAAGTTGCACTTAGCCTACATTTCAAAGAATCGAAACATAAACATATATAAACAAATGCATATAGAAAGAAGCATATGATGCTCAAAATGCATGTTATAAAATGATAAAACAATAAGAGAAAAAGGAAGGGATGATCAATGATGTGATTAAGAAATAGTAAAAGACAGCTGATCATCATCATATAATAATACTAAATTATTATGAAAAGAATATATATATAAAAAAACAGAGATAGAAGAGCTAAGAGAGAATATTCCTGCAACGGCAAAGGTTACACAACACATAAGAGAGGCCATGACCTCAAAAATATCCAATGATTGAGAGAAACACGTCAAAAAAAAGATTGAAAAACTCTGATTTGATTATTACATAGCTGTAACGCGTTACGCGCTATTGCATCCTTCCATCATTAAACTATATGGAATAGTATATGTCGTCACCGCTTCCATATAGTATTATACTAAATAATTACATTGCTGATTGCTCTCTGCATCGCCGAATGTAATAACTAAAGTACTTATAATTACACACTATGCTGAGTAATCTTAATTCCACCTTGAGATTTATGAGTATATTCTTTTTATGGGAAAACATAAGATAAGCGGGTAATTTTTACAATTGCTAAGTTAAGTAGTATGGATTATAAAAGTGGTGTGGTCGTAAAAAGCATGCATTGGATAAAAGAAAAAGAGTAGTGAGTCGTCACGTGAAAGGAGTTTTGTTTCCGTGGTGTGGGAATTTAATAAATAAAAATAAATGAGAATGAAATGAGAAAAGTCCGTACGGGTGCAGTCGTACAGGATAACCTACCCACTCCTACCTCCTTTTTATTTTTTCTTTGGTTGCTCTCTTACGTGTCATACCGTACAAACCAACTTGACTTTTCTTGACGATTTTTGAACTTAAAAAAATCAGATAAATGAAGACAGAAATTTTATTTATTATTCTCCACCATTCACAATTTCCCGTTACACGCCGTTTGCTTTTCTCCCGTTATCTATTTATCTATCTCTCTCCCACGCCACTATTTTTAAAAAAAAAATCTTGAATTGTTTATATAAATAAACGTCTATCTCAATTAGTCGGCTAAAATAAATCACTAATATTAAACTGGACTCATCTTTGGAAAAGAAAATTTAAAACCATCAGATATTCCTTTCTTTTATGTCCTTGACTTATAGTTTAGTTTGTAGGCAAAATATGATAATAATATGAAGAAATACCTATCAATATCTTTTAAATTCATCCTCCTACAAAAGATGATAAAAAAATTATATTTATAAATATAATGTTATCCAAGTATTATTCTTATCATTCTCTTAAAAATATGTATACATCAAGCAATAAACTAGTATATTTTACTTTAAAAACATTTTTGTATTAAATGAATTGAAACAAAATAGTTAGAACAAACATCAATGCTCTTTTGGCTACGGTCACAACTTTTCAAGTTGTTGTTAAATGTGTTCTTGTACAAGTTTGGTCCAATTGCAACTTATACATTTGTAATTGCTCATAATGTTCTTTGTTTTTCAATTATTTACATAATTTTATTTTTAAAACAATATTACGATCACATAGAAAACCCTTACGGCAGTGTACAAAAAAAAACTCAATATTATTTCAGATTATGAATGACTTATTCTGTTTTTTAATTTTATTTTTAAGATTGATTAATTACCATTGTAATTCTTTTTAGTTCTCTTTTCTAAGAATAACTACTAGTTACAATATGGACCATATTTGAGTGATTTTTTTTTCTCTCTCTAAAATCCTTTGGAAAATCATGTCAAATGAAAATTAATTGAGTAGCAGTAGGTGAACGAAGAAACATGAATCTTTTGGAACTATAGCATTGGTTATTGGTTAATATAGTGTTTACAAGCAAATTAAACTAGAAAGAAAGTCAAAGTGTTTGGCTCCAACTTAAAGAGACACTAGCCTTAAAAGGGACCAGCCGTACGCAGGACAGCCACACGACACTCTCGTTCCTACTTTTCCGTGTTTGACACATTAATATGCTTAATGAGAAATATAGAGAGTCATAACACCATTAGTAGTTATATGTCTCTCTGCATTAAACGTAATAGAAAATATATAAATGCAATGTTTTCCAATGTGGTCCATTTTAGATGATTCGATTTCAAAGTGGAGGGTGCCCACATTGCACATTTGGTCTTAGCTTTTACGGTATACTGACCTCACTCTTGGCTCCACCTTTGTCTTTTTGTTTTCTTCTTTTCAATCTTTTGGTATGGAAATGACGTTTAATGACTCATCGTTCTTCCTTTACATCCTTTCCATGACTAAGCCTTGCTATATTTTAAGTATCCCACCATGCATTATATATATATATATATATTATTGTAGGTTGATAATGCCATGGTTCTTACTTTTTATCCCTTTTTAGTGAGATGTTATGGTCGGTCGTGTGCTCGTGTTTTGATTAAAGTTAGATTGTCATTTGCTTCTTTCTTTAGTTTTCTAATAGAATTTGTCATTTGCTTTTTCATCGTATCATTTTTTCGTTTGATTTTGCCAATTGCCCTGCACCTTAATCTAGACTAATAGACCAGAACTAAAGGTAGAGAAGTAATAATCACAAAATGGCTTTTTTTAGAGATTATAAAATTTCAATGATCGTTTGGGATATGTTTTATTGACATTGTTTCAGGTTATAGCATATTTTTCCCTTACATAAAGGACAAAGGCCCATGTGAGTTGATTTATTTTTGCGTAGTAGGAATATAAGTACAATATTGATGGGCCAGTCCCATTAAAGATAAGCACAAAACCTTCCATGCCAAAGCCGATGGTAGTTGATCCATGCCGGTCCTCCATGAGGCCAGCTTGTGACCAGTTAAAACACTTCTTATGAGACTAGTCAGTCAGTCAATACAAACCTTTCATCATCCGAAAATCTACCAATCAATCAAGAGAAGCAAAGACCACGTGCGTATGTAGATTTTTGATATAGATGTGATTGTATTAAACAGAGATGCAAACCATCAAAGAAAAGGAAATTAGTAAGCTTAAGAGATGAGAGAGTAAAAAAAAAAAATTAGTCAAAGCTCAAACCTCAAACCATAAAGTGTAATAGAAAGGTGACATCCGATAGAGTTCTTGGAGATGCGACCAAAGTCAATAAGTATGCAAGTGTTGTCTTCAGACGTGTTGGATGTTGAGGATGTAATAGCCATCGTCTTTCTTTAGGTTGCCTGCACTCCGGCAAATATTTGGATTCTATTTAGCAAGAAAACTATAAGACAACGATGTTCGATAAACGAAGGCAAAAGGGATTTGCTGTTGAATGACATCTTGACCATGTTAAGCAAGAAAGGTTCTAGCCTAGCCATCACAAAAATAATTTTGGTAGCTTAATAAAAAGAGAGAAAAATAAATACAAGGTCATATCAAGGATCCATTGAAACGTAGCATCGGCCAGAATTCGTCCGGATGCACGCTAAGTCAGCCAGTATGATAGTATTTTCATCATAAGTGTTGGATGTTGAGGCTGTAATAGCCATGCTCTCGAGGTTGCATGCATTATGTAAGATGTAGATCGCCGCTTTTCTCTCTGTATCTCTTCTTCCTTTATACCCAATCCACTCAACAGCTTCCAGACTCCTGTACAAACTTAGAGGCAAAAAATTCGGTTCCTTCCACTTTCCTCTTTGACGGTTGCCGCAACATCTCTGTTGTTTGAACCTGAGAACTCGCAATTTAGAGCTATGCATTAGAATGTAAGGAAAAAAATCGAGAGCGCATATAGCACATAGCTCTACACACTCTCTTTCAAGGTTTAGAAACACTTTCCAAACGGGACGCCATCTTTTTGACAAAACACTTGTTTTCGCCGCTTCTTTTGTCCGAAGGAATGACAAAATCTGCACCAATAACTCGTCAGGTAAATCACTTATTCTTCCCAAGGTTGAACCAACTCTGGTTGCTTTCCGATACATTGAGATATCAAACAAAATTTGTGGAAAACTGAAAAAAGAAAAAAAACAACTTCGTAAAAGACAGCCTTTTGCTAATAAACGAATTAGAGAACCCTAATCAAATATGCGCTTCTCTTTCGGTTTTGATAATTACAAACCCTAATAGATTATGATATTTATATATGAACCATAATGGAAGTAGGAACCCTTATATTAAAAGGAATATTTAAAATTACAAAAGCGTACATGCCTTTTTCACAAACTTAATCCCAATATAATTTGTATTACAATTTATTACCTATAATACAAATTATTAAAAGAGCGTATATGCCTTTTTCACAAACTAATCCCAAAAAAATTTTACAAACAAAAGCGTATTGGATCCAATATAATTTTTGAGTTGCAACTTGCAATTATAATAGTCATCAAAATTTGACTAAATTTCCCATAATACGTAGAATTTCCAAATTGTGTTTTTTTTGTTCAATAAAATTAAACCAGAATATTTTTATCATAAAGAATTTATGAAAATTTATTCGAGAAATACACTCACCTTAACCGCACTTAAACCGTAATATATAATTTGGACCACACTTCGCAGAGGCTAAGATTACTTAATGGGCTAGGCCCATGGAGTTAATATAATAGCAAAGCCCTCATCATCTTCCTTACGAAGTAACCTTAAACCTAGTCCAAATTGAAAATTCTCCGAATCGGAAACTGCATAAATACACGACTTTTTAATTTCAAAAAGACGGCTAGGGTTTTTTTGCTTCTAGCTACAATGTCACTGTATCTTCTTAGCGAATCATCCTCCGGCTACGCATTGTTCCAGGTACAAGGTGTAGATGAGATTGGACAGAACACGGAGGCGGTTCGGAGCTCCGTCTCGGACCTTAGTCGGTTCGGGCGGGTCGTCCAGCTCACTGCGTTTCACCCATCACAGTCTGCACTCGATGCTCTCAACCAAATCAGCGCCATCTCTGAAGGTTAACTCTCCACTAAATTACAGCTCTTTCACTCTCTAGCATATTCATATACTGTATTATTTGCTTTCTATTATATTTTTATGCTGGAAAAAGCTTTTTTTTTCTAGAAATCGAGCTCTTATATAATTGGGTGGGATTTTGTCTTTAAAGACCACAACTGGAATCTGCTTATTCTGTTCTGTATTAGTTTTCTCTTGAGGTTTTGATAAGAAGTATTGGTTAATTACACCTTGTAGGGTATATGACTGATGAGCTGAGAAGTTTTCTGGAGCTGAATCTCCCGAAAGTGAAGGAAGGAAAGAAGCCAAAGTTTAGTTTGGGAGTGGCTGAGCCAAAAATCGGGTCTTGCATATTTGAAGCCACAAAAATTCCTTGCCAGAGCAATGAGTTCGTCCATGAGCTTCTTAGAGGTGTGCGCCAGCATTTCCATAGGTTCATCAAAGACCTAAAGGTGCGATATTTATTTATGATTTACCTTGTACCTATATCTCTGATTGTTTTCGCTATTCTTGCTCAATATCAATTTCTTATAATGTAGCCTGGTGATCTGGAAAAAGCTCAACTTGGACTAGCTCACAGTTACAGCAGAGCAAAGGTGAAGTTCAATGTTAACCGGGTGGATAACATGGTTATTCAAGCTATTTTCCTGCTTGACACGCTTGATAAGGATATCAATTCCTTTGCTATGAGAGTCAGGTTTGTTTTTTTGTTTTGCCTTGCAGATTACTATCTTTGTTTTTACCTGAATAATGTTTTCTTACCTGCTTTTTAAAACAGGGAATGGTACTCGTGGCACTTCCCTGAACTTGTCAAGATAGTAAATGACAACTACCTTTATGCACGAGTGTCAAAGATTATCGAGGACAAGTCGAAGTTGTCTGAAGAGCACATCCCAATGCTTACTGAAGTCTTGGGGGATGAAGACAAGGCAAGAGAGGTTGTTGAAGCTGGAAAAGCATCCATGGGTAAGAAACTGGTGGAGCTTGTTTCATGAGAATCATGATTTCTTATTAAATGTATCTATTAGCTCTCTTGTTCTAAAACATTGCTTGGTTTCCCTACTGAAGGCCAGGATTTATCACCCCTTGATCTGATCAATGTCCAGACCTTTGCTCAGAGAGTGATGGACCTCGCAGATTACAGGAAGAAGCTCTATGATTATCTTGTTACTAAAATGAGCGACATTGCTCCAAATTTGGCAGCCTTGATCGGAGAGATGGTTGGTGCTAGGTTAATTTCACATGCAGGAAGTCTGACAAATCTTGCCAAATGCCCATCTTCAACTCTCCAGATTCTCGGTGCTGAGAAGGCACTTTTCAGGTGCATTTCAAGCTTTGTTCTGCTACGCAAGTTTAATTTCACTGCAGTAGCTGACCTTTTAAGTAAATTTCAGGGCGCTAAAAACACGTGGAAACACACCCAAATATGGTCTAATATTCCATTCGTCATTCATTGGACGTGCATCTGCTAAAAACAAGGGCCGTATTGCTCGTTTCCTTGCAAACAAGTGTTCCATTGCATCCCGGATTGATTGTTTCGCTGGTAAAAATCTAGACTTCCCTGAATAAGAAGGAGGCGTTTGGGATAGTAATAATGCATTGCTGTTAATTGCTAACTACAAAACCATGGTGGTGTCGTATACAGATAGCAGCAGTACAGCTTTCGGTGAGAAACTAAAGGAACAAGTGGAGGAACGACTTGAGTTTTATGACAAGGGTGTTGCCCCACGTAAGACTGTTGATGTAATGAAAGAAGTGATGGAAAATCTTGAGAAGAAAGGTACATCTAACTCTCTTAGTGACCCAACAGAGCTCTCTGATCTTTTGAGGTAAACGGTTTTGTTTTATGGGTTGTATTCTCCTTTCGTAGATGAGGGAGAAAAAACAGTGGAGGTCTCAGAGAAGAAAAAGAAGAGAAAGACAGAAAATAAAGAGGAGGAAGAAGAGAAATCAAAGAAAAAGAAGAAGAAGAGCAAAGCAGGAGAAGAAGAGGAATTGACAACAACAGATAATGGTCACAGCAAGAAGAAGAAGAAAACTAAGTCACAAGATGCTGAATAAACAAACAAGCCTTAAACTAGTTTTTTTAGGTTTCTTTCTTCCACATAGCTTTGATTACTAATTATTTACTATTGAGTCTTAAACTAGTGTCTTTTTTTTTTCTTCACTCTGTTTTTGACTTTAAAACAACTTTAAACATGGAAGAGAAATGATATCAGATTTTCAGCTTTTAAGCTGTGAAACGAACAAGGTTGGTTATTAGATATTCCAGGTTAAATTGAAGAACAAAATCTTGAAATGGATCTTCTTCAAGTATATATATATGATTTATGTTCTTTAAAAATATCTGACTAGACAAATTAACTGTACAAATAAGGATTGGAGAAGATGAATCAAACTTGTTCTTTATTATCTCAAACAAAAAACTAAAATTGCAGAAACCAGAGAATTCTGCTGTGAATCATTACAAAATGCGAAAACAAAAGAGCAATGAGAAGATAATCTTAATCGCAGAGAATGAGTCTAATCATGGCGAGAACCAAACACGAAACAGAGAAGAAGAAGAGCGTCACGAAATCCCTAGCAGACCATTTTCTCACAGGCTTCGACTCAACTCTCAAACTCTTTGCTCTACGAAGAGCGTCCACTTCTTTGAGCAAATCAAATTCGATACCTTTCTTCTTCAGCTCTTCAACGCATTTGCGCAACAGCTTCGCATCTTCTTTCTCCCTCTCTAGCAGCTTCTCAAGATGCGATTCCACTTCAGATTTGTACCGTACCGCCCAAATGATCCCCAAGGAAGACAAGAGAGCGCAGAGTGAAGGGATCCATGACCTTTTACAGGCACTCGAAGCAGCAGCAGCAGATGAAGAAGACGACGCGTGGAAGAGGAGCAGCAGAGAAATGGAGTGGAAGAGAAAGAAGAAGATGTAAAGCTGAGTGATTTCTCTACGAACAGAGTCGATCTGAGATTCTTTGTGAGAGACACGGCTGAGGATGAGCTCTTCTTCTTTTAGCCATTGTTTCAGAAGAAGCTTGTGTGTTGGCGTATCTGCGATCTGGTGAAGAGGATGTCTCGTCTTCGCCTCCATGATCGTGCTCTGATCTGACGCCATTGAAGGTTTGTGATATAGAGAAACAGAGATCGAGAGAGAAATGTAGTAGAGTTGTGTGATTCGCTGAGAAAAAGAAATGTGGATTTTATTAATAACGCGAGGCTCTTTAGTAACGGCTATTTTGGGTTTTTATTTTAAAATTTATGTGCATTTACAGATTTGTCCTGAGCAGGCAACGGTCATTTAAAATGCTCGGCTTGGCACCGTCACGCTTTCTTAAATTGGCCCACGGAATGTTTGGCCCAGGTATGGCCCGTAATTATAAGTCGACCACTCACGTTAATCTTGTAAACTAGTAACGCTTGAACCACGTGTCATCAACAATACATAATGCAACCAATGGAGTTATAGAAAAAGCATTTTCTATCTATCTCCGAATTCCGAACGTTACGAAATCGTAACAGCACTTAAGGAGGCTAAGCACGCAGACAATGGTGATGATTCACACTTACATGCAAATTGTGAAAAGAGCAATAAAAGCATGAACAAGAAGCTGGCTTTGCTTGCAAGACTTCTTCTCCTCACCACACTTGTAACAAGAATATCAGTAATCACCAGAGCCGATGAAGAGCTAATGATGCAAGAATGCCATAACTCTGACAACCCCACTTTGTGTCTTCGCTGTCTAAGCTCCGACCCCTCTTCTCCTGAAGCCGAAAAAGTTGGACTGGCTCGAATCATCCTCAAATGTATCAACTCTCACCTCCTTACCCTTACCAAGAGCGCTTCCACTTTGGGCTCCATGCACTACCGGAATCCCATGGCTGCATCAGCGTTGAAGCAGTGCGGTTTGGGTTTCTCCACGGCTAAGCGTGGCGTGCGAGAAGCCGACGCTCACTTGATAGCCGGAGACTACGACAAGTCTGCGTATGATGTCAGCGTGAAGGTGGTGGATCCTCCGGTCTCGTGCAAAACCAGTCTCGAGACACTCAACATCCAAGTGCCCTCAAGTTTTCGTTACCATATGGAGGTTTACTTGGCGTTGACTCAATCTCTCCTCAGGATCATTGATCGCTTCTAGATAGTTTATTGTTTCGCAAGTCATTGTCTTATCCTTATATCATCAGAGTCTATAAGACTGTAACTATGTCTAAGCCTCAAACCAAAATCCAAATTGGCTTGTTCTTGTTATCATTTCAAGACTGAATGCAAAATAGTGATACCTTAAGTAAAGAAGCTAAAAAAAAAAGTAGCTGATGTTTTTATATGCATGGTTTCTAAGTGGAAGGTTTGTATGAAAATTGGTGCTTATAGTATTTTAAAAACAAAGACATTTAATGAATCAAGAATGAGTTTAGTCTTAACGTCAAGATCATCACAAAGTACGAAATAGAACTCAGAAGTTTTATGATAACATAAAAATACCCACAAATTGCCGGAGATGAAGAATTGAATGTTTATTTTACCTACTCTGTTTATCGAAACAGAGTTTCCAACAAAAACTAATTTATCGTCTTCCACTCGAACATGAAAGTAACTCAGGTCTGTCATGGTTAGGTGACAACGTTGGTCTGTTCAGATCCTTCTATGGGTTGTTTTTAAAATGGTTCATGTATTGCTAATGGTTCTGACTCAAAACTCAAAGCTGTAATATTTCATTGCCTTTTTAGCTTTACTCCTTTTAAATACAGTTGTTCCAATCAATGAATATGCATGGTTAATTACTCAGTAACAGAAACAATTGGTAATCTATCTTCTAGAAAGAAAGATAGATAGTGTTTAGGTAGCAACTCGAGCACGGTTGCCTAAGCATGTAGAACAAAATCAGGACATATCTTCTCTTTTTCGGCAGCATATACAATAGTAAACGTAACTCTGTGGGGAAAATATACTCTTCTAAAGTGGATTAAGTTTTATGTGAAAATAGTTGGAAAAAAAAAACAAAACTTTGTGGCTACTTTTATTTTTGGTCCTTCAAGGGAACAGCTACATGCCTAAAAGATTCATTCCTCAGGCAACATGCACCAATTAACAATAGCCAAACACAACTTGCACGTTAATAAGCTTTTTTTCTTTTCTTTTCATCTAACTCTTTCATTTTTTATCTCTACCTCTCAGATTCTTTTTTGCCCTGAAAACATCGTTTTAAGAACAAAAACAAGAAAATGTTGAAATTACGTGACAGTTTTAAGGGATTACTATTAACTGTATAGATCAGTCTTTTTTTGAGAAGAATGAATGCTTCTTTCAAGTGTAGGATAAATAAAGGTAGGAATCTTTTCTGATAACAAATAAAAGATCGAACTAAGATATCAGTTTCGCTTTAGCTTAACAGAACACATGAGAGTAAGATTTTGCAAGAACAACTTTTTTAAGTTTGAACGAAAAAGCAACCAAAAACTCAAAATTACATATATATAAACAATTCAGTAAAAAGGTATCAGTACTTTGAAGTGCAACACCAACACGACGCAGAGTTTCAGATATTGATGTAGTTCACTGTTCTTAGAGATAGCTGATGAGTTTTCATATTTTGAGAGCATATATAATTAGATGCACAAATAGGATAAGATCGGATTGTAGATTTTGAAATAAATGATATTCTATTCCTATGCATGGCAATTTCGTATTCACTTTTTTGTTTTTGTTTTTGGTAATAATTAATGTGAATACCCAATTCTCATGTTGATTTTATTAGTTACAATAGATGACATATAATTAACTGGCACGTTATGATGTATAGTTTGAGATATTTGGAAGATCTTCTTTTTTCTAATGAAATATTTCATTGTCTAGTCCAAAAGACGAGTTTGAAGCTTAGCAGATCATGGACAGAGAATCTAATATCATGAAGAATTGTACAAACTTCACAGAAAACAAGATAAAGGACCCAAAGAAAAACATGTCTCACTTTAATCTTTGAATGCATATTCAGTCATGTCATGACCCATCCATCATCTTTCCTTCGAATCTCCTATCTCACTGAACATGTTTTGAGGCAGCCCTCCGTATTTGATATCTGCGCTTAGTTATGATCTCATTCCCACTAGCCATATTTTATTACTTTACATTTTTTTTGCATTGTCTCAATTTTTCAAAAAAAAAAAAAAAAACACATACACCAATTCATGATGATTTAGTGGTTGAAATATATGTTATACTACAACTTAGTTAAGGATTTGAATCATGCATCTTAAATGGCAAGAATCTTCACAGATCCCATAGATTGATTACCAACGTTGGTGACCAAAGTTTATATATCAGACCTTGCATAAATATATACGCATACATGCATGGTTCTCATGCAAAAGCACAATTATAAATTTTGAGTTTAGTTCATGGGAGTGATAAATAAATTAAAAATGGTGCAAGAACATGTGTTAAGATTCTGGGGCTAGGCATAGGGTTTCTCTTTACGTAGTTTTCATAGCGTGTGTATTTGCGTACGGCCCTTTGAAAAAAACGCGAAAACATTTATTCTCTCATTTTTTTCTTTCTGTTTAATGGAAAAAGTCGAGACAAGAACATTGGCAACTGAGGACAACTGGTGTGGCTTAAATTAGATATCTAATTATTCGCCTGTGCTCCATATATTATCTAACCTATCACCATTCGACATATATATATATCTTTAGTATATCAAGATTTATATTCCATCAATAATTAAGCTGTTTATATTTTTCATTTTTATCATCTGTTTTTTAATATGTTGAATACAAGAAGAACAAAAAGTCCTTAAGAGGGATAGGTTGGATGAAATGTTGAAAGAAAGAAAGTGAAAAACTAACGAAAAATAGAAACAGTTAGAACATAAAAGGACAGAAAAAGCTGGTAATAACTAAAGATGTTAAGTTAATTAGAAAATGGTTTTGACAGCATTAAAAGAGAGTGTTATTAACAGAGCAGAGAGTCGTCTCACTAACTGTAAAACTCTGGTGTGTTCGGTCTCCCCAATTAGTGTTACGGTCAGCCTGCCCGAACTATCAACAAAAACTCCTATATATATACACACTTTGCACACACTCTCATTTAATTTCCTCCCAAAACAACCCAAAACTAATTAACAAAAATGGCATCATCTATTCCTCAGTTATACGGCGCTGATTTCACAGCATTTTCCGGCGAGACTTCTTCGCAGTTTCACGGCTCTTCTTCATGTCCTGACGTGGACTCAGCGTTATATAGCTACCTTGACGACTGTTATGGCTCCTTCAACACCTCTTCTTCTAATCCAGCAGAATCCATCTTCTTACCCCAACTTTTTGGAATCTCTGACGTCTCTGCGCCGCCTGATGAATACAACAACTATTACCAGAAAATGAGTGTGAATAATAATGCTACACAATACTTTCACGGTGGGGATCAAGAATACTACGGTTTTTCACCGGAGATCAAGCCCTCGTTCCGTCCGGCCACAGGAGAGCAATCATGGGTACGTATACACGTCTCGGAATCATTTATTAAAGAGAGTGACATGCATGTGTATTACTAGTTAATTATTAATATACGTAAGAATTGAAATATGAATATGAAGCAGGGAAATAGTGAAGGAGGGATACAAGCTGAGCCAAACATAAAAGTGGGACGCTATTCGGTGGAGGAACGTAAAGACAGGATCATGAGGTACTTGAAGAAAAAGAACCAACGCAACTTCAATAAGACCATCAAGGTACGTATACATCACTCTCATTCTTATTTAGATAATTATATTCGATAAGAAAGACAGTTTTAAAACTATATGTATATATGCAGTATGTTTGCCGTAAAACCCTAGCCGACCGGCGTGTTCGCGTTCGGGGACGATTTGCCAGAAACAATGACACATGCGAAGAACAATCTCCCATGTCTAAGAATCACAACAACCATTCTGAAAAAGAGGAAGATATGTTTTCAGGATCAGACGACTATCTGATCCAGGTATTATTTTTAATTATATTCCCCATGACAGTATATATATGATATGCCATCATTAATTATTAGTAATTTGTAAAGCTAATTAGTGCATCCCTATTTCAGCAGATGGAACACGATGACGGATGGCTTCACGAAGCAATGTCCAACCTCATCCCTTTTCCTTGTGAATTTGACGCACCTGGAGATGCTCATCATTCAAACACTTGGAGCTTCTGATCTTACTACCTAATCTCATTTACATACGAATCAATGAATGTCGCTAGCTATTAAATTTGATGATCAGTTAGTTTAGTTTGATTAATTAAGCAGCTTATTTATTTTTATGGTAGATTTATCATAATGTACTTAGTTACTTATTCCTGGGGTTAATGAACACATGAAGATTCTGTCTAGTGAATAAAATAAAAGAACTTCACTTAATCATCATCATCATCATCATCATCTAATTATGACGTGAGAATAAAATTTTAGCCAATGGCGATCTCAATACAAGAGAAAGTTATTATGGTTCCTTTTGATCTACTTTACCTTTTTACAGTGAATCAAAGTTTATATAATGTGAAAACCAAAAAGACGATTCTAAGATGAGTGAAAAGTTTGTTGAGATTATTTAAGGCAAACAACATCTTTTTTACGATCGATGCGAATAAATTGGGTGAGGTCGATAAGAGATTAATTAACTAGTAGTGGATTCACGGAACAATTGTGTATTAAGGAATATATGATGCAAGTTTTAATCATAAGACGAATGACTAAACGTAAACATATATAGCTTGTGGCCTTTCTCTTCGATGCTTACATATGAATGGATATAAAGAATATAATGCCGACTAGCTAATTGGTCACAGGCAAAAACACAAAAACATGATAAGTTGTACACAAAATTCTTGCAATGATAGGCAAGGAGCTAAAGAATGCATGTTGTGTCCACAAATTAAAGCATCCAAATAATTTCATTTATAGGGTTTAATTATTAATATTGATGCATGATGAAAATATAGCTAGCTATATAGAGAGAGAGAGAGGGGGGTGGAGATGAAAGACATGATACGGAACCAAGTTCCAATCACTTTTTTAAGACATATAATTCTTATAACAAACATAATAAGGCTTCAAAATCTGCAAATTATATTCTCTGAAATTTGTCCCCTTTATTTTTTTTTTCTGCTTTGACGAATCTTTGTGAAGTTGAAGGCTGAAGGCTGAAGCCCTCTCGTTTGCTTTTACTTTTCCATAAACCATGTGCATCATTTTTCTTGGAAAAAAAAATCAGTTTTATGATCCTTTCTTCTTATTTTATTTTGGCTAAACTCATCAGTTTTATGATCCAAAACCCTAACATTGAATATGACATGTTGAACTAAACAAGTTATTATATATGGAGAAATGGGAAACAAACAACCTCTTCATTCTTCAATTTATTGTAGGCCCGACAGCTTATTATTACTAGTCGGGTCTCCACCGAATTTATATATGTTAAGGCTCACGATTTGGATCGATCATAGCAAACTACATATATTCATGACACTGAAGTGTGTTGACCCTGCTTCTTGACGTTGGGAACATATATTTGATACAACCAATCGTATATGCTTAGGTCAAATTAAAACAAGATAATAAAGATTGCATCAAAATAATCATTAATTGTTATATTCATTTTGTCATTTTTACTATCTCTCAAGAAAGATATCAGTGGTTACCCATTTTTCAATAATTTCGGTGAATTCCCACTATCTCAAACTTTGTTTTTTGTCTTCTATATATAATTGGTCAACTTGAACAGGCAAAAGGCAATAGGAATTCATTCAACTCTCTAAAACTCAAGTGATACAAGTGTTCCAATTAGTATAATGTACAAATTCAATTCACTACAAGTTTTTACGCTGGTTAAACCCTTAGTTAATTTGGCTGATATAATGTTGCAATTTAGTTAAGAGTTTGAACGTTATTCTTTGGATTACTAGGGACATTGTCATTAATAAATTTAAAAAACTGTCGACAGTATTGTACTTATTTGCCAGTCTCTTATATTCTTTTCCTATGCTTTTTATTTTATATATCTCCCTTGTTTAACCATCTTTAATTTGGTGGTTTTCTTGGCACTTTGTTGCCTTACTACTTTGTATCTCCTTTGGTTTGGTGTATTTCTTCCTTTTATGTTACATATAGAGTAAACATATATAAAGAGTAAAAATGTTAATGTTGCAATTTGATTAGTATTTGAAAACACACAAATTAATACAATTGCGAATTGTATACATATAGTATAACATGCTTTTTTAAAGGAATTGCGTCTTCACACAGATTGTTGTGCTTGTGATGCGTTGAATTTAAGTAATACAAAATGCTTTTGTCCACTTCAATAAAATGTTACAAAGATTCGGTGTTGGATTTTCCAATTTTTCTTATGAAGCCTGTGTGTGTTACCGTTAGAGCAGTGAAGGTCGCTCTCTATGCATGTTGAAAACGAAAGCTACAATCAACAACTTACCCCTTCAATGAGAGGGAGAGCTATAATCTCTCTACTTCCAAGCCTCAATCTAGTATTATTTGTGTTTTTTCTATGCATTTCTGATATTCCTATATATCTTTTCGAAAATGATATTTGAGTTTTTATGCATTTCTAATATTCCCATATTTTTTTCTGAAAATGATAGCAAACAGGGACAATTGTTTTCTTATGTGTTTTTTTTTTCCTTCCAAATCTAATGATATATATATATATATAAGTCAACGATTATGTTCTTTCGTGCAATTTTAAGGATCAAATATTTTATATACATTTTTGGATTGCAGAAAGTGAAACTAGGATCGATGTCATATAATAAGAGAAAGTGCAACTATCTTTTGGTATATGTGCATTTTGGTAAGAATATTGATTATTCAATTTATTTATGAGACGAGTAGTTTAATTAGGGGGGGTACCGGGTACATATCATCAAACATAGGATTAAGCAGATGATTAAAGTGATGTATATTGCATTTAATAAAGAGTCGACGTTGAGATCAACAGAGCCATGTGTTATCTAATCATGCAGCAATTGAATTTAACATCTTCAAAATAAATAAAAGAATTGTTACGTATATACTGTACATGTGGTTCGTGGAGATTTTGGAAAATAAGATAATGCAACGATGGCCACAAGACAGAGTCCGATCCGACAGAATCTTTATAGAAAATTATACATTGCTAGACTAGATGATGGGGTTGACCTTTCCCACTGAACTGGGAAAAAAAAAATCTGACCCTTTTCCTTTTTCTATGTAATTTGAAAGCACTTAAAAATCCAATCATGAAAACGATTAACAAGGTTAAAAGTGGGAAATCAGTAATCTTCTTCTGAGGAAGCTAATCAAAACAGCTAGGGACGTAGTTATTGCATGCAACTGTGTACCAATAGCGACCTTGTTACCCAAATGTGAGATTTCACTTCCGTTTGTCTTTTGTCACAATTTTTTTCTTCGAGACAAGACATCCCTCTCCCATCTTCTTTTAATATTTTCAAACATTTAACTTTTTCAGTTTTTAAAAAGATATGTAGGAATATCAGAAATTGATTTCAAAACATATAATTTACCTAGCTTCAATAGCATTTTCTTAGGTATTGTGAGTAGACATTAATATACTACTAATACAATTTGAGTTTTTTTTCGCATTTTTTTTTTTGGTGAGATCATCAACGCATATATTAAAGTCACACAATTTTGGTAATCAAAGACAAAAAAAAAAAAAAAAGTAAGAACATACCGACATAGGCATCCGCTTTGGTGGGCTTCTAATAGGAGTATTTTAGCTTTCAACGTACTGGGCTTTCAATTTAAAGCCGATAACAATAAAACATAGCCCAAGGCGTTGACATTGAAGGAGGGGCATGGCTCACGGTTGCCCGCCGTTAAGTAGTATTATCAGGCGTGATTTTTGAGTCAAACTATTTAGAAGCCAAAAATGAAAATCTACTAGAATTTATAATTAACTTCTTCTATTCTTTTTTTTTTATTTATTAAAGAGCTACAAGCATAATTTGCTTACGTATATCGGTATATATATACCCACCTAAAGATGTATTTGTTTACCTATTTAATTTTTCTTATATGTTATAGTTTGATATGTGAATGTCTTTGTGTTTAATGGCAAGACGCACACCTGACACCACACATGTCACATGTCCTCTTGTAAGAAAACTAGCTATAGATAACCCTAACGTAAGATGTTTTTATTTAAATATATATAGCATTGAATGGTTGAAGCATTTTTATACCAAGAAAACGAAATAATTCAACGTTTACTTTTATTTGGATTAACATGCATCAAACTTTTATGTAGAATGGGGGTTGGTAAAATGTTTGACAAACTCATTGGCAAAACATTAAATCAAATATAAATGAGAAGATATGTACCATGTAGGTAGTTGAAATATATTAAAACTCCCTCTTTCGATACACTACGTACGTACAGAAAATTATATCGAACTCTTGGCATTATGCACGCTTGGTATTTTCGTTAGTATTTATAGCCGCTTCACTTTGTTACTTCTCAAGATTCAGTTTGCAATCTAACAAGAGCATAAAACACATTCAAAATTTTAAGCAGAAGTGTAGAGACAATGGCTATCATCAACTTCGAGGACCAACCCACATTGTACAATTTCGTGGTCAAACAAGGCAACGGCGTGAAAGGTATGATAGACTCAGGCCTCTCCAGTGTTCCACAGCCCTTCGTCCAGCCTATCTCTGAGCGAATCCCGACCCAAAACGCCTATACGTGTGAGGCTTCCCAGCCAATCGATCTTTTCCACCTAAATGGTCCACACCACAAAGAGGTGGCCAAACAGATCGTCGAAGCTGCCGAGACACTTGGCTTCTTCCAGGTAAATAATAGTTGACACATATCATTTTGGTTGGTGTAGAGATGAGCTACATATGTGAGTAAACATGTATAAACTTGATCTGGATGATACAATCAATCTTATCTTATGAACTTACGTTAAAAATGCTTGCTTATAAGATCGAGTGTCTTTATCAAACTCTTAAAAATGCATGTTTAGTAATATGAAAACTGTATCATTCTGAGGATGGATTGCAAATGGCAGGTGGTAAACCATGGTGTTTCGGTGGAGCTGCTAGACTTGCTAAAAACATCGGCTCATGAGTTTTTTGCACAATCACCTGAGGAAAAAGCGATATATTTGAAAGAAGTGAGTCCAAGCAAGCTGGTT